CACAACTGGTTCAGCCCCTATTGCTTCTTGGAAAAGAACAAGCAGATGGAGATGCTGACAGAGCAGATTGCCACATTGTGTGTAACCCTGAAGGAGTATCCAGCCATCCTCTACAGGAAGGACCATGAAGAAAATTTCCACCTGGTGCACAAAGCCCACTCCCAGCTGCTGATGGTGGATCGGAGCTTCGACCTGGTGTCCGCACTGCTGCACGAGCTCACCTACCAGGCCATGGCCTATGACCTACTCAGCATCGAGAACGGCACCTACAAGTACGAGACAATGGGCATCAGCGACTTGCGGGAGAAAGTGGCTCTGCTGGACGAAGACGACGAACTCTGGGTGCAGCTACGCCACATGCACATCGCTGACGTCTCCAAGAAGTGAGAGTAAGAGGCTGACCATGGACAAGGCCAACATCGAGGACTTGTCCCAGATCCTAAAGAAGATGCCACAGTACCAGAAAGAACTGACCAGGTACTCCACGCACCTGAACCTGGCCGAGGACTGCATGCAGCACGTCAAAGGGACAGTGGAGAAGCTGTCCATGGGGACGGACGTGGACGGGGAGATGATCAAGGACCCCATGAAGATCATCGTGCCCGTCCTGCTGGATCCCATTGTGCCTCCAGCACAACCATCAGTCTTAAACCTCCATGTTCATCAACCCTTGTATTTCTGATTCTAGATCAAATGGTCCTGTTCTGGGCACTGCACTTCAAGACAGATGTGGTCAAACTGGAGAGAGTCCAGAGGCGAGAGACAGGAAGGAGGAAAGGTTTCGAAAACCTGACCTAGGAGGAATGGTTAAAAACTCAGGACATGTTTAGTCCTGAGAAAAGAAGAACAGTCTTCACATTTGTTCCGGGCTGTTATAATGAGGCTGGGGAATCAGTTGTTCTCCGTGTTTGCTGAAGGCAGGACAAGAAGTAAAGGGTTTGATCTGCAGCCAGGGGGGATTAGGTTCGAGGTTAGGAAAAACTTTTTAACTCTGAGGGTTGTTAAACTCCAGAACCGGCTTCCAAGGGAGGTTGTGGGATCTCTGGTCATTGGCGGTTTCTAAGAAGAGGTCGGGGAAACACCTGTCAGGGATGATCTAGGTTTATTTGGTCCTGCCACGGCACCGGGGGCTGGACTTGATGACGTCTCGAGGTCCTTTCCAGCCCAAAGTTTCTATGATTCTATATTTCTAATCTCTTTTTTCCCCTGCCTTCCTCTGAAGCACCGGAGATCAGCCACTGCTGGTTGGCGCTTGGAGCTGGTCCAGGAATCCTCTGTCTAGATGCCTAGCTCTTGGGACAGGGGGCCTTCCTCCCATAGGGGACGCCAGCTCCCATCCAGTCCAAAATCCAACAGCCGTTCCTAGAGACAACAAGGGTTGTTCTCAGTCCGTCAGTGACAATGTGAGACCCTAACGGCCAGTAGGCCCGTCCTGTCTCTGCACTTCACGGCCCCTTACACACTCGGCCCCTTGGAAGGGGGCTCTGGATGGGACACAGCCCGTCCGCACCTTCTCCTAACCCTTTGGGATGGGATGGGCTCCTCCACACATCGCTGGAGGGGGGAGTCCCCCTAGAATTGGACCCAGCGATCTGGGGATTGCACCCCAACCTCTGGGCACCATAATCGGGAGCCGTGTAATGGCTCTAAGCATCTCTCAGAGCTCTGGGCTTGCACCTGGGGGCGAATCTCGGAACTCCGTCCCCTGGACAATGCCCAGCTTGGAAAGATTGTGGGACAAACGTCCTGTTAATTACCACAAACTTCCACCTCAGCCCGTCAGCCGCTCCGCCTCCACCCCCAGCTGGTTGGGGGCAGAATTGGGGGGGGGCTTGAAACAGTAGAATTGTTGGGAGACACAATTGATGGGGTACTGGAGGGGGCAGAATTAGTGGGGTCCAGGCTTCATTTCGGGGCTGGGAGGCAGAACTAACTGCTGGGCAGAGGGATGGGCTGCTGTGGGGGTGATGGGGGGCCCCCCACTTCTGTTCCAAGCACTTCCAGCACTGAGATGTTCTCGTCAGGGCACCCAGGGTCACAAGCAGCCGCCTCGCCCTCTGCCTCCGCAAGAGCGAGCGTGGCTGGAAATCAGTTCCCTGCCGTGCCGGCCTGTCCGCCTCACCGGTAACCCCCCAGAGACGCTGCTGGCCTTTCCCTTGCCTTCCGGCTGACTCCCCGCCTCCGGCAACCCCAGAGCCGTCCCTGGGCTGTGTCCCGTCCCGCCCCGGCCTGTTTGCTCAGCTGAGCCTCGCGCCCGACGCCAACGCCCCAGCGTGGAGCCGGGTTCTAGCAAATCCAATGCTGAGCGTGGCAACGAAGAGCCGAGTTTAAGTGATGCGGAGCCAGAGGAAAAGGCACCAAACCGCACTTTTCTAGTGACGGACACGACATTGTCGCGCAGGGCTACTTTGCCGAGTGTTTAAGGCGGTGTTGTTGGAGATGTGTCGATCTCATCTTGTCTATCTTTGCCGATGGTTGTAGGTAGTGTTGTTGGAGCCAAGTCAGTCGCACCTTCTTTCTTTGCCGATTGTATACAGCAGAAGTGGAGCCATGTCAGCCTCACTTTGTCTATGTTTTCTGGTTGTTGTAGGAAGTGTTGTTGCAGTCGCATCAGTCCCCCATTGTCTAGCTTTGCCATGTTGTACATGGTGTTGTTGGAGCCGTGTCGGTCCCACCGTTTCTCTCTATCTAACCCCATTCAATTTTCTGCCTTATGTCAAGTTCCCAGCAACCCCAGCCCTCCAGGCCGGGGGACTGAACAGGCCCAGAGGGGGCCGGCCCCTACATCCATCAAGGAGGGTCATTGTGCTCCTTGTGTATCCCCCAAAGTCCATTGTCTCTGCCTCAAGAGCCAGGAAGGATTCCTGGAGGCTGGACAATGTCTCCCCGCCTGCTCCCCATGTCACTCGAGGGCTGTGAATGTACGTTTCTTCTCTCCGCTGGGCATCCAGCCGTTCGGCCGGGTAAATCAACACTCCGGTGTCTAGGGCAGGCTGGGTTTCCTCTACCTCCTCACGCATGCACAAGGCAATGGGGCTCGATGCAGCTGTTATCGGAGCCCCTCCAAGACTGGAGAAATAATCCCCTAAGTGAGAACCCAGCTTGGGGAGGGGTCAGAGTTGAGGGGGCTGGGAGCCAGGACTCCTGGGTTCTCTCCCTGGCTCTGGGAGGGGTGTGGGGTCTGGTGGGTGAATACGGGGGGCTGGGAGCTGGGGGGCTAGGAGCCAGGACTCCTGGGTTCTTTCCTCAGCCCTCTGAAGGGATTGGGGTCTAACGAAACCCAGGTGCCCAGCCATGGAAGTGATGGCATCTCCCTCATACCGCACTAGGTGCAAAGGGCCCAGCCCTTGGTGCCACGCAGGGACTGGCAGCAAGGCAGAAGATCCGAGGCTGGTTCTGCTCTAATGCGGGTTACTGGGAGCACTCCATGGTGTGTGTGTGAGTGTGTAGCTGGCCCAGCAGCCCCGCCTCCGCAGGCGCCAATTTCCCGTGCGATTAGCCGGCTGCGTCTGACTCCCTGCGGGCAGGAGCCGGGGGGTGATGAGCGCCCAGCCCCTCCGTCTGTGGGGCCCGGCTGGCACGGTGGAGATTGGCTCAGGCAGGAGCCCTGGGAGTCGGTGCCAGGGGAGGACTCGTGGATGCCGGGGAAAGGGGCCATAAAAGCCCCGGCGCCGCCCGGGTGGAAAGCAGCAGGCACCGGCACCGAGAGAGACGCAGACCCTGCCGCTGCCCAGGTAGGGCGGGTGCCGTGGGGCAGAGACGGGACAAGGGGCCATTCCCGGGTAGGGACACCCCCTCCGCACTGACCCCCATCACCTCCTCCTCTGGTCAGGGGGCTGTCCAGCCACAGTCAGTGGGAGCCAGGATGCCTGGGTTCTGTCCCAGGCTCTGGGAGGGAAGTGGGGGCTAAAGGTTAGAGCAGGAGGGGCTGGGAGCCAGGACTCCTGGGTTCTGTCCCAGGCTCTGGGAGGGGAGTGGGGGCTAAAGGTTAGAGCAGGAGGGTCTGGGAGCCAGGACCCCTGGGTTCTCTCCCTGGCTCGGGGAGGGAAGTGGGGTCTGGTAGGTTAGAGTGGGGGGGTTGGGAGCCAGGACTCCTGGGTTCTCTCCCTGGCTCTGGGAGGGGGGTGGGGTCCAGTGGGTTAGAGCAGGTGGGGCTGGGGGTCAGGACTCCTGGATTCTTTCCTCATCTCTGGGCAGGAAGTGGGATCTGGTGGGTTAGAGCGGGGTGGGGCTGGGAGCCAGGACTTCTGGGTTCTCAGGGGTGAATCCCTCCATGCTTTGCCCATAAAGGGCTCCCAGCCCATCCCAGTCCCTCTCTCTCAGCGGGAGGCAATTTTCCTTCCTTCTCTTCAGCCGTCCCCCTTTCTAATCCCTGCCCTGCTCGGAGGATCCCCCCCATCCGGTTACCCTGTCCCCCTCGGTACCTCTTAGCCACAGCCCCTCCTGCTAGGTCTTCCCTCCTTTCCCAGGCATGGGGCTCCTCCCCAAACCCCCAGCCCCATGCCCAGTTCCATCTGGGATGGAGGGACCAGTGTTCAGAGCAGGAGGGTGGGCTTCCCAAAGCTGTCTGGACCGTCCCCCTCTCTTCTCTGCCCCAAATATGCAACCCCCGATCATCGCACCCAGCCCTTGGGGCTCTCAGCCACCAACCCCGACGAGGTGTCCCCGTTACATCTTTATGGGGATGTTTATTATGGTCCCGGTAGGAGGCTGCAGATGAAATCGCGGTGGGGAGGCTGACACTGAGTGCTGCCAAGATCAGGGCCCCCCCTTGTGCCAGGCGCTGCCCAGACCCTGACCGAGATCAGGGCCCCGTCATGCCGGGCGCTGCCCAGACACACACGGAGAGACTGGCTCTGCCCTCGAGAGCTCCCAGTCTGAATGCACCGGGGGAAGCAGAGCCCTAGAGCTGGGCAGTAACTTGCCCAGCGTAACCCAGCTGGTCAGTAGCGGAGCTGCGAATAGAACCCAGGAGTCCTGAGTGCCCGTCCTGCTGTCTGCCCACATCACATTGCCACGCTGCCTCCGGGTCCCTCTGTCATCCCTCTGCCCCAGGCATCGCTCCCCCCGGCTTAGTAGCGCCTGCAGATTTAAATCACTGACCCCTCTTTCCAAAAGGAACCCCGTGAACCCCGCTTTCCTCACCAACGCCTTTCGCCTGCTAACGTCCCTAAAGATGTGTGTGGATGTTGGCTTATTCTTTGCTTCGTAGCCTAAACTGTTGTGTGGCGTTATGTGTAGCTGTTCCCCAGCTGCCTCGCCCCAGAGGTGGCTGCATCTCTGCGCCAGATCAGCCCTTCCCGAACACCAGACCCTTGACACTAGGAGAAGGCAGTGCCAGCTCTAGGCTGGGCTGAGGGCACTGGCAGAGGGGCAGGTTCTCACCCACGCTCTCTCCCACAGATCCGTGCCCCCCCATGGCCGGGCCAAACCGGACAGAGGTTACTGACTTCCTCCTTGTGGGCTTCTCCTCCCGCCGAGACCTAAGTCTGCTCCTCTTCTCGCTTGTGCTGCCTGTCTTCCTGCTGGGCCTGGCGGGGAACCTGGGCCTGGCGGTTCTGATCCGGGCCGAGCGCTCCCTCCACACCCCCATGTACTACTTCCTCAGCCACTTGGCGCTACTGGACCTCTGCTCCTGCTGTGCCGTGGGCCCCGTCATGCTGTGGGGTCTGCTGGCTGGCCAGGCCGCCCTCCCCGGCCCAGCCTGCGCCCTTCAGATGTTCCTCTTTGCCGCTGCTGCGGATGCCGAGTGTTGCCTGCTGGCCGTCATGGCCTACGACCGCTACGCCGCCGTCTGCCGCCCGCTGCACTACCAGGCCGCCGTGCCGCCCCGCCTCTGCCGCGGGCTGGTGCTGGGCTCCTACGCGGCCGGGGCGGCCAGCGGGGCTGTACACTCCGGCCTGGCCTTCCGCCTTCCCTTCTGCCGCAGCCGCGCCATCAACAGCTTCTTCTGTGACATCCCACCTGTGCTGGAGCTGGCCTGCGCCGACACCAGCCTCAACCAGGCCCTGCTGCTGGCCATCTGTGGAGCCATCCAGAGCGTCACCCTGCTGACCATCCTGGCCTCCTACGGGCTCATCCTCGGGGCCGTGGGGCGGGTGGGCTTGCGCCGGGCTGCCTCCACCTGCGGCTCCCACCTGGCAGCTGTGGCTGTGCTCTACGGGACCCTCATCTTCATGTACCTGCGGCCTGAAGGCAGCTACGCTCCCGAGGCCGACAAGATGGCCGCTGCCTTCTATACCGTGGTCATCCCCACCCTCAACCCTGCCATCTACAGCCTGCGCAATGCTGATGTCAAGGCGGCCCTGGCCACGTGGCTCCTGGGTGGGCGCCGCATCTGGGGGGGCTGAGGAAGGGGCTGGAGGAGGGGTGGCCAAGGGAAGGGGAGATGGGTCAAGATGGCTGCTTAAGGTCTGCCACGGCATTGGTGCAGTGCTTCAGTGTAGACGCAACCTACTCCGATGGGTGGGTGAAGGTAATGCACCTCCCAAGGAGGCGGTAGCTAGGTCTTACGGAGTATTTCTTCCATCAACCCAGTGCTGTGTACACATCTCTCTGGGGTGTGGCTTTTTCACACCCTGGAGCGACATCGCTGGGTCGACCAACTTCTTAGAGTAGCCCAGGTCTCAGTACATAAGAACGGCCAGACATGGTCAGACCAAAGGTCCATCTAGCCCAGTATCCTGTTTTCCGACAGTGGCCCATGCCAGGTGCCCCAGAGGGAATGAACAGAGCAGGGAATCATCAAGTGATCCATCCCCTGTCGCCCATTCCCAGCCTCTGGCAAACAGAGACTCGGGACACCATCCCTGCCCAGCCTGGCTATGATGGACCTATCCTCCACGAACTGATCTAGTTCCTTTTTGAACCCTGGCCCTGGCAACATCCTCAGGCAAAGAGTGCTGCAGCCAGTGGCCCCGTCCTGTCTCTGCACTTCACGGCCCCTTAAACGCTCAGTCCCTAGAAGGGGGCTCTGGATGGGACACGGCCCAGCCTCACCTTCTCCTAACCCTTTGGAATCAGCTGTTCTCCTCCACACATCGCTGAGGGGCAAGTTCCCCTGGAATTGGACACAGGGATCTGGGGTTGCACCCTAACCTCTGTGCACCATAATCAGGGGGTCCTAAATGACTCCAAGCATCTCACAGAGCTCTGGGCTGTTAAAGGGCTTATTCCTTCACCCGCTTACTTCCTGGATCCTTCTTGCATGAACAGAGAGCAACAATATCCGAAATCTGAAGGTGCAAAAATTCGATGTTTATTGGGGTGAACTTCCAGCAAGCAATGATTCCAATTTCCTTCCTCAGTGTCCCTCTTCCCAGCTCTGACACCACAGAGCCTGGCCTGTGTCCCTGTTCCCATCCACCCTCTTAGCAAAACATGATTCCAATTCCCCCTCCCCATTCCCTGTTCCCATCCCCACCCTTACGTCCTGATTGACTGCAGACTATCTAGTAAAACTTGCGTTCTGTTTAGCCAGACCTTAAACAATCATTTTACTGAAATTTAACTAACCAATTCTAACCTATTGTAACATGATTATCTAACCAATTATATCCCACCACCTTAATTGGTTTACACCCAACAAAATTGCAGACAGAAACAATCCCAGAACCAGCCAGAGATTATACAGACAAACAATAGGGAAATGAAAAGAACGAGGAGTACTTGTGGCACCTTAGAGACTAACAAATTTATTTGGGCTAAAGCCCACTTCATCAGATGCATGTAGTGGAAAACACAGTAGGAAGATATATATACAGAGAACATGAAAAAATGGGGGTTGCCATACTAACTCTAATGAGACTAATTGATTAAGGTGGGCTATTATCAGCAGGAGAAAAAAAACTTTTGTAGTGATAATCAGGATGGCCCATTTCCAACAGTTGACAAGAAGGTGTGAGTAACAGTAGGGGGGAAATTAGCATGGGGAAATAGTTTAGTTTGTGTAATGACTCCTCCACTCCCAGTCTTTATTCAAGCCTAATTTAATGGTGTCCATTTTGCAAATTAATTCCAGTTCTGCAGTGGAGACTACAGTGATAGAACAACAAAGAAATGAGGATTTCACACCCGTGCTATGGATAAGTGAGTTCTTGCCAGACAGGACGTTATCAAACTACGTTTTCTTTAAATCTTCTAGGCTCTTCCCTTTCTCTGGAGGTGATGGGCATTACCAGGACAGGACTGTATTCCTAACGGCCCCATAGCACCTTATTGCCATGTGACTAGTGGACGGTAAGGATGGGACCATACACTTCCCAGTTTATGGCTGCCTCTTCTGCTTAGCCAAAGGCCTCAGACTGTCACAGTGAGAAAAGGCCCTATTCAGGCAGACAGTGATTTTGATTCTTTCTTTTATACCTCTAGAACTAGCTAAACGATAAACCTAGACCTAAATTCTTAAAGTATAGGCCTTTACGGACAGGCCTATCTATATCCTAACACTCTGGGCTCGCACCCAGGGCTGAATCTCTGAACGCGGCCCCTTGGAGATATCATGGGACAAACGTCCTGTTAATTACCACAAACTGCCACTGCAACTCATCAGCCGCTCCGCCTCCACCCCCAGCTCCCATCCCCGAGGGCACCAGCGCCTAACGATGCCCAGAGCGGTGTGGCTTCATTATCAGTAATGAACACACCAGGGGATGAGTTGGAGACAGGAACACAAGGAGACCCGGGTGGGGCCGGATGTGCCTGTGCCGTGTATTCCTATGTTAGATGGATAAACAGGGGACTCCGGAGTAACTGGAGATTGGGTCTAGTTCCCCTGTAATTGGCCCTGGTGCGACCACAGTCTATAAGTACCAACATGGGGGATAAATATTTACTAACAGGCTCTTCACTCTAGCAGAGGAAGGTCTAACCCGATCCAATGGCTGGATGGTGAAGCTAGACACGTTCAGACAGGAAATAAGACGTGCATTTTTAACGATGAGGGGAATTAACCATTGGGACAATTGACCAAGGGTCATGGTGGATTTTCCACCCCTCACAATTTTTCAATCAAGCTGGGATGTTTCTTTAGGAGATCTGCTCTAGGAATTGGCTTGGGGCCTTTCTCTGGCCTGTGATGGGGGGGTCCCAGTAGATGATCCCAGTGTGGGATCGATAGATGATCTTGAAACTCTCCCAACTCCAAAGAATCCAGGGCTGTCCTAGGGTCTGGGATCTATGGGTTGGTTCAGATTGGATGATCCCAATGGGCTCTTCTGGCTTTGGTATCTATGTTAACAGCAGGTGGTGAGGATGGCCAACGCTCCAGGATTGCCCCGGAGTCTCCACTAATTAAAGATGGATCTTTAATTAAAGATGATGTCATGTGATGAAACCTCCAGGAATACGGCCAACCAAAATGTACAACCCTATAGGTGGCATGTTTTCGATGAGCTACCTCGCTTCATGGACACACGTAGCTTGATCTTGTGGGAGTCATTCCCCCGCCACATGGGGCTGGATTTACTCCCCCTCCCGCACCCCATGGGGCTGGATTTACTCCCCCTCCCCCACCACATAGGGCTGGATTTACTCCCCCTCCCGCACCCCATGGGGCTGGATTTACTCCCCGTCCCCCTCTCTATCTGCAGGGGAGGGTAACAAGCAACTACTACTCTAGGCCTCCAGATTTGGGATTTTTAACCCCCCAGATCTAAAAGGAGACAATCCTGTGAGGGGGCTTTTATTGTAAATTTCCTGTCAGAGAAAATAAATCCAATGGCCTCCCCCCGATATTAAAAGAACTCCCCCCCATCAAAATGGTTCCTTCCAGGGAAGATAAAAGCACCAAAGTTCACAATGACCAGGATGAACCATTTCATTATGGGGGAGAGGGGGAATATCCACAGCTCAAATTTAATACATTTTCCTTGGTCTCTGGGGAAAAAAATTACAATTTTTGCAGTACAGATGGTGCCAGCCAAAATGAGAATGGAACCTTCCAAAGTGGCAGTTATGGCAGTTGGCCAGGCCCCTCCGCCCAGGGAGAATGGGACCTTCCAAAGTGGCAGTTATGGCCTCTGACCAGGCCCTCCCCACCCCCAACTGCCCCTCAGATCCCGGGGGGTAGGGGGAGCTGCGCAGCCCTGACTAGGGGGCACATTCACCCCTCCATGTGTGGTGGGAGTGGGGCTGATGGGATCTGTCTGTCCTCGCTCCATTGGAGCAGGCGGGGGGATTTAGGGGGCAGCTAGGGGGAGGGGATTCCCCCCTTCAAGAGGACAATGGAGCACAATTGTCCCCTGGGGCCTGCTGTTTAAACCTCATTCATTCATCAATTGTGGGAAATGGGTTCTTCCCCGCGGGTGTCGCTCCCACCCCTGTCCCTGAGAAAGCAGCCTGGGAGAGGGGAGAATCACTGGGTTTACTAGGGACAAAATGGCCGCCATGATTAATGACCCCACAATTCAACACCAAGGAAACTCATTGACAGGGATGAAGATCAGCCCGTTCCCAGCCTCAGAGCATGGCACTGCTTGGGCCAGAGCAGGAGCCTTGGCCTGAATCTTCGCTGGCTCCTCCTGTCCCGCACCTCTTTCTTTTAGAAATAGTCCATAGGTTATAGTTCAATGTCCATATTCAGGGTTTCAGAGTAGCAGCCGTGTTAGTCTGTATCCGCAAAAAGAAGAACAGGAGGACTTGTGGCACCTTAGAGACTAACAAATTTATTAGAGCATAAGCTTTCGTGGACTACAGCCCACTTCTTCGGATGCATATTCAGGGTGACACCAATCAGTGACTGGGGATCTCAATTCTTATGGTTTAAGGTTTCCCCTTCTTGAAACCCAAAGCAGATCTGAGATGAAGAAGGATCATGTCCCAGGGTTTTTATACATAACAACAGCCTCTTGGCCTGAGAAAACAATAGGCTTAACTTGCTGTCTTCCAAACATCCTGGCAATTAGCACAGGATAATTTATCCATTAAACAGTTCAGATACAGGTTACCACAACCTTCAAAGAGACAAATAGACAATAATACTATTTCACTCAAGTGTCTTCCTAAATGTTAATACTCCTTTTTTGATCTTTGAATCAAAGCCATGAACATAAGAACATAAGGGTAATAGTAATAGACAAGACTTGTTGGCTTACATCACAAGACCTGAGCAAACATCTACCCTTCTATCTCTAACAATGCAGGCTGCATTTCAAAGCTCTATTCATTTACAGATCTTCCTAACAAGTCTTTAAAGTTTAGCCATGGATCAGGTCAGTCGGAGAGTTAATTAATCCTTTCTGGCCCTGTGTCACCTTTCAATGAGATATTATATTACACTCATAATGTCACAAGGAGTCAGAGCGGATCAGCAGGGCAATGCGCAGGTTCCCTAGCAGCATCAGCAGGCACATGGAGAGGAAGAGGAGGTGCCAAAGCTCCGGCCGGTCTGAGAGACCCAGCAGCATGAACCCGGAGACGCTGGTCTGGTTCCCCTGCTTCATGGCTCCGAGGTCCCTGCAGAGAGGAGATTTGAGCCATGAAATGGAATGCTCAGTTGGGAATGGGCTGCAAGGGCGATGGAGACCCACGATGAACCGAGCCAATGGTCACACGTTCTACACCCAGAAGGGGACAGTTCTGACCCATCTCGCCTCATGTCCTGCACGCTCCAGGCCTGACGCCCGGAGCCCTTCCTACATCCAGCCAAGAGCTGCGGTGTGAACTAAAGTTTCTTTCTTAGAAAGAGACTTCCAGTCTCAATGTGATGGACTCCAAGTGATGGAGAAGTCACCACGCCCCTCGG